CCACAGGCATGACTCCCGGAGGCAGAAGCATCATTGGATTTGTAGTTTCAGCACAGCTGGAGAGCCAAGGTTGCCTACCCCTCGGTTAAGTATTTTGAGAGCCAGCGGAGCCGACTAGCAAGATACAGAAGCTTGGCCCAGTGGGAGATTCCTCCATGCACACAGTTTAGCGTAAAAGGAGGAATTTGTTGCACTTTTTCCATTTGACCATAGAAAATCTGCAGATATTCTGTAGGTGTATGGCTAGCTTTAGGAAGCAGGAGTGGTAGGACCAGACTGTTTGGTAGAAAATGTCAAGATTTTCATGCAACTTTAGCCACCCTTCCACTGATTATTTTAGTACATAGTTTTCACTGTACTTAAAAACACTTCCTCGTTTCACATGTGCCCAGGTTTGTGACCTAATTACTTATAGCTATACCACGTTGATAGTACCCAATGTGTTTACGGTTATATATTTGGTCTGATTATAGCGCATGATTAGTAAATATTACTCTTTATACGCATCAAAATCAATCGTATCAAATGGCAATTTGGATAGACGTTTATCCTTCTTATGGGTCAGTATATATTATTATATATAAAATTACATACATATACACACATTTAACTGCCAGCCTGGCTTAAACTGCCCACGGCCATGGCTTATATCGGGGTGAGCAACTCTGGCCCTCCAGCTGTGCTTTAACTACAAATCCCAACATATCTCTGCCTCTGGGAGTCATGCCTGTAACGGTCCCTCTTGCGGGGCCTTTAGTTAAACAACTGGAGGGCCAGAGTTGCCCACCCCTGGACCGTCAACGTGCTTTTTTTTACAGATATGAAATGTAACTATAGGGTGTCTCCTTCGCTTTGTGAAAGAAAAATGTACACACAGCTAACTTTGTTTTATTAAGCCAAACTTTACAACATATTGTCTTAAGTCAATCACACAATACATAGTGTTAAAACAAAACCCATACCAAAAGGTGCATAGAACTAAATCCCTAACGTGCCAATTGGCAGAAAAATAACCGCTCACCAATGCTTGTACAGTAAGTAAAAAAAATAAAAATTAAAAATCACCCAAAATGTCTACCTTATTGAACTAGAATAGGACATTAACAAAAATCTATATACATATTACAGTACGACTGGCAAGACTGACTGTACTGGACCAGGCAATTAGTTATGGCAGCAGTAACAGCACAAGGCTTCCCTTCCTCTTAAAAGAGTCAGCAACTGTTCCTAGAATAATTGCTAACTCAAGAGGGGCAGGGTAACCATCAGGCACTAAGGTAAACCTGCCTCTATGGGCAGTGGGAACTGAACAAAGGATTAAAAATTCCACATCAGAACAATTAAATCCAGATATCTTACAATGAACCTGTTGGATTTCAAAACAAAGGTTAATTTTAAGCTGGTTTTCATGTGCAAAATTGATGGCTCATGCTCCATGAACCACTCTTTCATAATGGAAATTGTCACCTTGGAATATGCCCATGCCAGGAGGGGAAGAAAAGATCCATTGATGGAAAAACCTGGTCATTCAGAAGGCAGCTGACCTAGTTTTTTGGGCACACAACATTGCTGCACCTAGGCCTATTATACAAAGGAAGGCTTTTATATATTTGCTTAGCTAAATGCAGGTGGTGACTTTTTTTTGGGATTTTTTGTATATCTATATCACTTTCTCTTGTAAAAGTTTAACTTGGCCCTCGGTCAATCAAGTAGTGTGATGGGTAGCCTTCCTGACCAACTGCAAAGCTCAGTGGGTGGGCCAAACAACTCAACATTTTGCCCAACGTAAGCTCCTATCATCTGCTGATTGACTTGACAAGACATTTTCACTGAAGCTAACCTGCGGTTGTGCATTTTTTTTTTAAAAGCACACGCTCCATTTCAATTGGCCAGGTTTACCTTAAGTCTGAAGTTACAGAATAATTAATTTTTTTCTTTAAAAGGAGAACTATGAGGTGAGTGCTTTTCACTCACCTCATAGTTCTAGCCAACCTGTGACAATGAGACTGTTACAGGTCGGCTTAGTGGATCGGGAGGTGAGCGAACACATACCGCTGGATTCCCCCCTCCCCTCCTCCAGCGCTGACTGGCAGAACGGACGGGGGAGGGGGCGGGTACAGCTGGCTCTGCCTCTAGATAGGCAGAGCCAGCTGTCAGTCATACAGCTGGGCGGATCCAAACATAATTGTCGGGATCCGCTTCAGCTGCGGCATCTTAGCATACCGCGAGCAGCAGCTCGCGGTATACTGAGCCTAGGCTGATGGGAGGACGTTAGTTTGTGTTCTCCCGTTACCCTAAGGAGAACTATGGGGAAAAGCCTTAACCCCATAGTTCTCCTTTAACAATTACACTCCGCATAATCTAGCCCCCTTTATTATTTTTGTGGCACGTCTGTTTCTAATAAGTCACATTAGTTCAGTGTTTCTACCAGGCTGTGTGCACCTTCACATGGTCTATGTAAAGGATAAGTGCATTTAATGGAAACAATCTCATGGCCATCGCAAAACAAAAATAATCTATAATCTACTGTATATACAAACACAATGTAATAAAAGCCCAATACAGTTCTTTGGGAAAAAGGGAGAAACTTACAGAAATAGTACATTTAGTAAGTAGTGTGTTGGGACTTTGCTTGCTGGAAATAGGGAATGTATACATGCCAGGGTCCAGCTGTTGCAGTGCATTCAAGACAAGACGTTAAGGAGGGCCCTGCTTGAGAGCACTTGCAATATAAAAGTGTTGGTCAAACAATATAAAACATGGTAGTGGAGTAAGGATGAGTTGTTTCAGAAAGTAACATTTTAGTTGCTCAGTAGAGGTGGGATAGGCTTCCCTGAAGAGATAACCAGACAGGTTGGGGTATGGGGTTCCAGAGGATGGAAGAGGCTCTGCAGAAGTCCTGGAGGTGAGCATGGGAGGTCTTCAGAGGAGAGAAGCCAGTTGAGGGATTGGCAGAGAGAGGTTGGTAAGGTAGTGGAGTCTGGCGTAGAATTGTTCTAGTGGTAAAAGACTTTACAAGGTCTCACAGGGTGACTCACACTTTTAGTGCTTCATGAGCCATTAGCACTTTAGCTGAAGGATCAGGTTCAATTCACATAACAGCAGGACAGAATACATAGAGCTACTTATAAAAGAAATCCAGAAAAGTTTTGTCTGGCAAGAATGATTTGTTAGAAAAGCTATTTCCAGTATGTGCCGGTTTATTGGTCATTACCAATTTTTGCACTAATTCATTGAATCTTCATATTATCAGGTAAAAAATGAATGTTCTATTAATGGCCAACCTTAAAATGCTTTACTAATAAGTGGTCAAAGCCATGGAGGGAAATCTCTCTCTCTCTCTCTAAAGATTGAGCTGTTGGAGGTCAGTGACCAAAACGGCTAAAATAACATACATTGGCACAGATGACCCACAGCATAGTGACTGCCAACATTCTAACTTTCCACAGCATTGTAATATTTTGAAATTGTAAGTCAAGTCTAGTAGTGCAGAGTTTTACAAAAGGTTGATTTGCTATCAATTGTAGGAGAAAGACTGGACAGGTTTTTTTGGGGGGAGGTGTACCCGCTCACCATATCCATGTCTTGGCACATTGGGTTACTATTCCTTTATCGAGTAATCTGCTACTTTTTTAGCAAACCGGCAGCCAGGCTATCCCTTCCAAGTCTTCACTGATACACCTTTCTAACTTAAAAAAATAAACTTTCTCATCTTTAACATACAGCACACTGGAAGTCTCATATCCATGAGGGATATACAAATATGAACCAGCTACTCTAGTCAAGAACCTGTCCACATCACCTTCTGTGTACCACGATTGGCCTATTACCATGGGCAGCATCACTGATCAATAGCAAGTCATAAGAGATGAGAAGAAGTGCCATACTCATCAGGAAAACTGGTTAATAGTTTAATGGCAAACCAACCTGGGTACTCATTAGCAGAGATTAAGAGGTGTACAGGAACCACCTGGTCCTTACTACATCATACCAAAAGATAATGTAAAGGTTCGTCTAACTTCAGATACGCCAAGGTTTGGGATATTACTCCAATACGGTCAAGCCCAGGTTTGGGATATCACTCCAATACGGTCAAGCCCATTCTTTTATATTCCCCAAATATCATAAAGATGTAAATCACACATGTTGCCTCTATTATGAATAATTCAAGAAGTCATAAAAGTGATCATTCCCACGGTAGCTCGCCCTTACAGAGCTTTCACAAACTTCCTTAGGAAGCATTAGATTAAACTAGTACAGCCTCATGGGCTTTTGTGCTGAACATAGTGAAGTAGCAAATCAATACTAAAATGCAGTAACAAAGACCTTAAGGCATCTGCAGTAAATCATATAAACAAACACACACATAGGATAAAAACATGTGGCAGATGGTTAATGGTCACCATGAACGGTTAAAGGCAGCAGGTGAAAAATAACAATTTTTTTTAAAAGAACTGCATAATGGAATTAGTAAGAAGTTCAAACATGTCTCCTAAAACACCTTGAGGGACACTGAATGTCTCATGGTTAAAGGTATACTCATCACTTTAGCTTCAGTTGGAAGACCAAGCCTCGACCAGCTATTGCTTCAGGCAAGACTGGAAAACTATCTAGAAAGTTATGCAACAACCTGACTCTCTCAGTCTTAGCTGTGGTGTATAAAGCTATTCTCATTTTGCTATTAATGTGTATTTAGTCAAGGGCACTTGGGAAAGATCTAGAAACATATGCACTTCTTAAAAAGCTATCTTACAGGTACAAGAGAAAAAACAAAAATAGTGTTACATTTTTTGAGAACATGAATAACAGGCTTCGTACAGTCTTAGTAAAGTCAATGCAGCAGAAATAAAGTGCAAAATTTACAACAAATATTTAAAAGTTGGGAAGCCAAGGAAAAACCTCTAGGAGAATAGTGTTCTAGCTCACTTGAAAAAAAACAGATCTAGTTGTTAGCTTCAAGGAGAAGGCGTACCATATTTTAGAAAAACCACAGCTCTGTACTACATATGAGGAGCAAAGCGGACACCATCTCTGAGATTAAGAAGACTGCCATGCATTACATCTCTTCTCGCTAAGCCATACGCAGGTGGCTCACAGTTAAAGTAAGAGCTGGTAAATCTATTCCTCCTGGAAAGGATGGATACCATGTGATCGAGCTTAGACCGGATAGAGGTATAGTGTAATTGACGGTCTTTGCCAAGTTTCTTGAAGGAATCTTGCATGATATAATTAGAGTGATTCAAACCACTGCTTGAGCGAATGGAGGTATTAGATCCTGTGCTAGTGGTGGAAGCAGAGGAAGACGAAGACGAGGAGGATGTAGACGATAACGACACCGTTGTTGTAGAGGAAAGAGATGTGCTTCTGCTCAATCCTGTTGAAGGTTCTTGTACTTGACTCGTCTGGGTAGTAGTCTGGGTAGTTGCAGACCTTGAAAACAACACAGTTTGGGTAGAAGCCACTCTGGCCATGACAGCAGTTTGAGTCCCAGCAGTTGAAGTGAACACGTTTGTCTGAGTGGCTGCATCTGTTCCTTTACGATTCCACCAGCCGTCGGAAGGCTCAGTCTGGGTGGCCACACTTTCAGTTTCCTTAAGGCCAGATATTATATCACAGTTCTGCAACCAGTCATCTTCAGAAGCTTTAATCTTAGGAGTGCCAACATCCTTCCCCAATGCTGTCTTGGTTTCCACAGCTGCTCTCTTAGGTGTGCTAGACAACTTTGCAATCTCTAGCTGTAGGAGGCTTGACAGTAATGGCTTCCTCTCGGCTGGCAGACCATAAGGCAATTTATCTGTGGGAATAGCACGATTCCGGATGCTCATTAGAAGCTTGGTACTAACTGGTTTGGACTGAGCATAGAGAATTCGGAACTGGAGGTCAAATTTCTCCACTATTTGTCCCGATAATACTACAGTATTACTGCTGTTGAGCTTGCCATCCATCCAGGTGAAGCTGTGGAGAGATGATAAAAGCAAGTTAATTGCTGTAAAGAAGCATAGATTTCCATATACTGAACATAGTCATCAATATTTGTTTTTTTTTCTGACAGTGAAGTTGTGTGAATGATATTCTTCTACAGCTGCAAATTGGGCATTATGTTTTCTACGAATTAAACATTTGACATTCTAAAGGAACAGATATCACAACATTGTCTGGCCGAGGAACACGTGCCAAAAACCACACCTGTAACTTCCTGTGGCAGCCTTCAAGCCATCCACAAGCAGGAACTTCTCATGAGCCTTCCCAACGATCTTGGCACCAGATCTGGTATAATAGTTGTTGCCCGTTAAGGTACGGACCCGCATGTTCTGTAGGCACAGTACATAAAGATGATCAGTTATAGAAATCCTCAGCAAAAGATAATACAGTTTGGGTTTTCATCATACATTGCAAAAATCATTAAGGGAATGGTCACTTTGCTCTAGATCAGGGGTGGCAAACTCCGGCCCCCCAGCTGTTGTGGAACTACAAGTCCCTTGAGGCTTTGCAAGATTCTCACAGCCACGGGCACGACTTGCAGAGGCAGATGCATCATGGGAGTTGTAGTTTCACCACAGCTGGAGGGCCAGAGTTTGCCACCCCTGCTCTAGATGGTCTAGAGTCCATCCTTACAACCCACTTAGTCACATCAGTATCCTCCCATTTTCTTTGGATCAATCCCAAACAGTCTTTGGGTATGTGGGAACATGTAACCTCCTCCAATGTTGCAGCATCAAGGAAACCAATAACCAGGCCCAAATACAGTCAAATGAGGATGACTGTGCCATCAACCCCATGTAAGCTTCCACACCAGATAAAGCCTACACAGGGTTTGACTCACCAAGCAACAGAGTGGCAAGCAATTGTGGGCAAGAGGCTGCCAATTTGCTCTAAACTGGCAAGGTGACAGTCTCTTTAAAAAGGTCTATTCCAGTTAAATCAACTCAAACTCAGGAATACAATTCCAGCAGCACCTGAAGGCCTCTGCATTTGTTCTATTTTTGATACATACTCTGTGCTTATTTTCAGGCTGCCACCATCAACTTAAATTGCCACAAAAAATTAAATTGCCACAAATGTTTTTTGGAACATAAGTCAGCAAATTTACACAACCAATTTCGTTCCTTAATTGTTACCTGCATAAAACCATTTGCCCCCATGCAAGCATCCATTAATGCACAAATGATGCCTCACACGTGTTTGATCTCTAAATGAAATTTCTATAATTCTGCACCCCTGAAAGTTAGGATTCCAGGAAATACCTTAGAAATTCCCCTTTCTCCAAGTCAAAGTTATGTTCATAGCCTCACACTGCAGTGCTCTATAATGGCAGAGTTCAGTAACAGGCACACCTGTCAGACACAAGTGTCCTTATACTGAAATTTCCGGTAGCATAAGAGGGTTTGATCAGTTCTTCTACTGAGAGCATTAGGTCCAACTCTGGCATCTGTCAGATGATGGTCATATTGACATCCTGTACAACTTGATGTAGCAGGAACATGTAGCAGGAACATGAAGGTAGAACTGAGAGAATGAATGTTAGTACAATTTCTGACTGAATACCTATTTCTGGTACTTCAATTGGGCTTTAATTCAAGAAACCAGTAGAGTTTTACACTTGTTGACATGGTGTTCAATAAAAGCCTTACTGTATTTGCTGGCGTATAAGACGGGTTTTGAGACCTTAAAACATCCCCCGAAAATCAGGGGTCGTCTTATACACCGGGTACATACGGAAGGATACGGTATACTGTATGTAGCTTCGGCTACATACAGTATACCGCGCTGAGCGAATCACGGCAGGCTTTGTATTAATGAATACAAAGCCTGTATTCATTAATACAAAGTCTGCCATGATTGGCTCAGCGCGGTATACTGTATGTAGCCGAAGCCCGTTACCCTAAGCTCAGTATACCGCGAGCTACAGCACGAGGTATTACTGAGACGCCGCAGCGGATCCCGACATCGACGTCGAGATCCGCCCAGCTGCATGAGTGACAGCTGGCTCTGCCTATCTAGAGGCAGAGCCAGC